ATTAAAAATGTATACTATCGTTCAAAAAAAATAACAAATTTGAAAAATTATATAGATGAAAAATAGTAAAAATAAGAGTTTACCTAATAGAAATAATTAATCTGTTTGATTAATATGTATAAAAGAACTGTCATTTTTTAGGTTCCCGTTTTGCGATGACACTATTTAACATTTTTCCAATTTTTTTTTATCGAGTCATTGAGACGGATTTCCGAAAACTCAATAACAAAGATTACTTAGCGTAAGTGCTGTACACCAATCATTAACTACTGTCGAACATGAACCAAATATTTAAGACGACAACAATTATTACAAAGTTATAACTAATATAAAAAAAAAGTTAAAAAAATTATTATTGATATTATTAATATACATTTTTTTAAATATTATTATTTTATTATAATTGTTTCAACAATTATTATTTGGTTGTCATGGTGTTAAACAATCTGCAGTTGATTATCGACGTCTCATGATAATTAATAATGCTAATAATACATTTATTTAAGAAACCCCTGCTATGATTTTTATTCTTTATTATGATAATATATTTGATACCTATATTTGTAAATACATGATACCAATTACCGACTATCGAATATATTCAATCAATATTAGACTACTTGTATAAATAATTCTTTCTTAAAATTTACACCTGCCGTAATGTTTCTGTATTCTGTATAACAATTTTTAATTTGTAGAACAATTTTTGCACCTATAAAAAGTTTAAACACCTTACGGTTATAGCTAAGGCATACATTGTAAAACAATACTATGAAATTTAAACGCGATACTTGAGACTTGATCAGGCTCGAACTTCATCAAAAAAAATATTGATAGCGTATCTTACGGTACTATTTTGTATGATGTTGTTGGTTAACTTGAAAACATTTACTGTGAATTTATGCTTACTAACTAAAAAATGTTTTCACCTCAATCGAAATTTTGATCACTCCAAGGGCGCCGTAGTACAAAATTAAATAATGAATGGTAGGGATATCAAACAACCACCCCCTTATCAAATTTGAAACCTGACACTAAAAATTTTAAACCACAAAGCAAATAAAATTATATTAAGTCACAGTCTATCAGCTAAATACTAGCTGGCTGGAAGTCGGTAAAAAAGTCCTGGGAAAAAAGTTCGGTTTAATTTTTTACGGAAAAAAATGTTTCGATTTATTAATATATATAAATATAATTTAAATTGATAATAGTATAAAAAAATAATTTATTATTAATAATAAAAAATATAATTGGTATAAGAATAACGTAATATAATTTGAAAAAATTAAAAAAAAAAATCCGGAAAAAAAGTTGATTTGTTGTTATAGGTACAATCTACAGTATATCATCTAATAATGACTAATACAAATATTATTAAAGGTGATATCTAAAAATATATTAAATAAATAATAATATAATTTTAAATTATTCAATAAACATAAATAACAATGACATCACTCAGGCTTGAATACCTAATGGCTGAACCACTGGGTAACTAATAATTAATATACATATTTTTGCGCTGTTATAGTTATTATTGTTCTTACTAGGTAATAATAATTGTATTTGTATTATTACTAACTATTCTGTGTTCAACGAAAATATTGATATTTAATACTAAATACTCAATGAACAAAATTGCTAATAATTTGTATCCCTATTTCAATTTATTTTCATAAGCCACCCATCACACACATTTATATATATATATATATATGGCAGTTTTCTTATTTTATAAGTACCAGCATCAAGTAAAGAGCGCTCTTCATTTGTAGTATATTTCACAAGAAGTTAAACATAATATACTTATATCTATACAGTACACATCGCACAGACAACTACGATATAATTTTAATAAGCACAATTAAACAATACTGCGAAGAAAATAATTAAGTTATTTGTAAGCAACTACATTAAATTTGATGTACAAATAATATAGTGAATTAAATTACAAATTAAATGAAATACAATGTAAATATGGTAACTTCATGTAAGTGCTTTAATACTATAATATTAGCATATCATATGCGATCCTAATATGTAAAACGCATTTGGTGAATAATATATTTACTAGTCTCATATTAAAATTGAAATTTAAAATCAACCAAGAGTATACACGCAAAACAAATAAATAATGTTCCAACACTTCAAATTTCTCTTTAGTTTATATGGCAAATGTCCAATAAATATTAATAATATATTTATTAAAATCTAAGTAAATTTTTGGTTTAACGCGAAATCTCTGAATAATCGTCTGAATCAACCCCAAGTACTATATTATGTTATGATTCTTCGGTTGTAAATTATAATTTTTTTCATTTAATAAATTGCGATTTATAATATCGTTTTACCTATGTATACCTTAATAATTATTTAAATTAATCAATTAGCGATATTCCTTAAAAGTTTATTATTATTTACATAATTAAAAGAAAATATTGAAATAATGAATACCTACAAACAGCAAACCTTAATATTTAGTAGTAGTTTAACATTTTTATTAAAGGTATTGAATATTTAATGTAACTATACCTATTGCATAATAAAATGATTATAATGTTTGTTTTTTAGGAATGTTATAGAGGTACGTTATATTACGTGTTGTGAGGAACGACTTACGCGTTTTCTATTACTGTTAAGCCTAAAAGTAATAGGTGACATGCAAGGTTGGGATACATTTAATGTGCAAACTAAAATCTGAACAATTTCAATACATGAGCTCAACAAAACCAGTGGCGGCAGATCAAATACAAATGATGGGGTGGGAAGAATAGAACACGGCCTTGGCGCACCTTGCTCGCGCGAGTATTTCGCAGAAAATGACATTCGCGACAATAATAGCCAATGAGTTTCAATAAGCAATATATTATGTTATGTTTTCGGCAGTGAATTCTAAGCCCGACAAAATACTTTTTCAATACGAAACAATGGACTGAAAAAGGTACGTTGACCGCTATCGAAAACCGATTCATATCGTTTTATTAGTTGCGGTGAATCACTCGAACTTAAATAACTAAGCAATATACACACAAATATACATAAAACACGTCATACATACCTTTACAGTCTACATACATAGTCAGACAATCTTAGTCACTAAATACATAACGATAACTATAATTTAGCAGCAATTTACCAACTTTTACGAGTTGTTATCGTGTGTAGTCTAATTTAGACGTTGTACGTAAAAAATAAAAGGTAGTATATAAACGATGGAATCAATAATATAAGAAAATTATGTATATTAGACAAACTAAAACAGTAAAACTTCACGATCAATGACCAATTTCAAACCAAATCTATACAGAACTGCAACAGAAGGTATAGACACTAGTAGTAGAGAAAAAAATATGTTTTTAATATACTTCATCAATCATTATACTTTATTAATATAAATAATGACTTGAAAAGTTTCAAATCCCTAGGAATAATATTTTTAGGATTACAAAAAAATAACTAATATTTGATTTAATCAAATTTCTAAGTAAGACTTAACATTTTTACAAAAAAAAAAAAATGTTAAGGTTTCTGTAAGTAACAATATATGAGAAATTGTGGAATCATGTATCACATTTTAAAGATTATTTATTAACAAATAAAATGTAATCATACATAAATCGCAAAAATTACATAAGTCAACGACTATGTAGTAAATCAATAAAATATAAATAAATTATTGACAACAGTTTCTTTTCAGAACCTATACCATACATAATTTCTGATACACGTTTTTTCCATAAATTATGATTACACAAAACCAAAAGAAGTTAATACCTCAAATCGTGTTCTATTACCTACGTTGGAAAATCCTATGTTTATTAATTGAGTCTCATAATTGAATGGGATATAATTATATAAAATGAATATACCAATTAAGTCCGCACTTGATAAAAGTAAAATATTAATATTAACCCCCGTAAAAGTGTTAGTTTGTGCATAAAACAACCAGAAACTTAATCTGTTTTAAAAGGTTATATTGAGACTCGGTTCGTAAGTAGCTATTTCTATAGGTGCAACCACCAGAAACTCGACGCAGATAAAACATATGTCTATGCTTTTTTCCTAAGAAATCAATAAGCCAGCTAAACTTTTAATGTTTACTAGGATGACATAAAAATAACAAATCAATTAGTACATAACGTTCGAAATAACTTTGAGTTACATTAAACCTATATCACACATATACAGATTTTATTATGAAAACACTTATCAGAAAATCATGATATTATTTATGATTTATTACCTAACGGCGTATAGAGGAAAATCGATAGTTTCACGTGGAATTGTAATCATCACGTCTTAAGAAATACGGCATTAGTCTTAAGATTTTCAATAGAAGAATATGTTGCCCAAAAGGACATTGTATACTAAAAAAATATTATGTTGCCCTTAACAAGTCATGTCGACTAATAACAAGATGTCTAAAAAGTGCATCAGTTAAGCAATTTTACATACCTACTTCGGGAAAGTCTCTACTCCAAATAAGATTTACACATACAGATTAGGAAAAATTGAAAATAACAAAAAACACACGATATCCAGTGGCGTGTCCAGAACTTTTTTTATGGATGGGCCACAATAGTTAGGTTCAGAATGGTTTTACCCCCTCTTCATTTTATAATTTGATCTACTTATGTTTTAGTATTTTTATTCTTAATTACTAGTTTTAATATTTTTAAAACAAATAGTAGGTTACCTTTTATTAAAACATAAACTCTAAGACATTATTTACTTTGGTTTTTAGATATTTCATTCTTGGATTAACCATAAACTTGTAATAATTGTAATAGAAAAATTAATAAAAACAAAAACAATGTCTAGAATATTCTGTATAATATAAAAAAAACCACAATTTATCTTTAAATATTCAAATCTTTTGAAAAACACAAATAAAAATTTATAAGTAATAATAATAAATAATAATAATATTTTAATAATACATATTAAAACATAAGTTTTACAAATTAAAAATCGAATAATATTTTTAATGTACAGTATAATTATAAAGAAAATGATAATCTACGGTTTTTGCTTGTTGCAAATTCATTTATGACTGATGTTGGATCTTGTATTAACTGCCCACTCAGTTCCCTCTCGATTGATAAAATTGCAGTATTATGAAGTCTTTCACTTGTCATTGTTGATCTTAAATATGTCTTGATTCTGCGCATTGCTGAGAAGCTCCTCTCAGCAGTCGCACTAGTGACAGGTATAACTAAAACTCGAGTAACTATTTCATTAATTTCTTGAAAAGCAGGTTTCATAATTGTTAATTCTTTGTGAAGCTCTACAATATTAATTGTAGTATTTTCAAACATATTTTTTACTAAAATTGATTGAGAAGCAATAGTTTCCATATTACACATGTTGTCTTGTCCATAAATATTTACCAAGTATTTCAATTTTTCAATATCCATAAAATTACTGGAATTTGGATCACATGCATCAACAGCAGTTAATATACCTATGTTTTCATCAAATCTAGAATTCATTTCTCTAATAATTGTGTCTATAATTTCAAAATATTGATGTCGAATTTCATCTTTTTCATTTACAGTCTGGAATTTGAGAGAATTATTTTTACCAACTGTAGAATAAACATAACTATTGTTCAATTTTGATGGTAAATTCATTTTTCTTCTTGGCATAGAAAGTGAAGTTGTAGCAGTTTGGTTACATGGTATTGTTATATTTAACTCTTGAGCAGCAATCACAGATTCATCAAATAATTTATTAAATTTGTCTTCATTTCTCATATTTTGTAATAAAATTGTTGTTGACTTTACTAATTTCAAACACTTGATAATATCTAGAGAAGATTTTTGCAAATAAACTGATAAGTTGTTAATAATACCTAAAATATCATCCAAGTAAAATAGAGTTAAAATTACATGAAATGAAGAAAATTGATGTAGAAGACCACGAGCCTCGGCAGCTTCCTTTTTTTTTGAATTTTTAGAACATTCTGTTAATGCAACAATTACACATTTAAATTTACTTTTGAAAAAGTGAACACCTTTATACTTGGAAACCCATCTAGTTTCACAATGTTGAGGGACTTCAATAATTTTGCCACAGTCTTTTTGAGCTTGTATAAAAGCATTATGTCTTATCGTAGAAAAGCTTTGAAAAGCATAAATTGCTTCTAACAATCCTATTATTTCATCCAGTGCTTCAACTTTTTTTGCTGTGTCCACTAAAACTAAATTGAGCCTATGAGCGTAACAGTGCACATATGGACATGCATTTTTTGATAATTCACGAATTTTGGCTTGTACTCCATTATTACAACCTGACATCACAGATGCACCATCATAAGACTGTGCAATACATTTTGTTATATCTAAGTTTATACTAACTAAAAACTTATGAATAGTGTTACACAAACTTTGAGCATCAAGGTCCTTTAATAAAATAAAACCCAGGAAACGTTCTTTTATTATACAATCTGAAACGTACCTTATACACAAACTCATTTGTTCTTCTTTACCAATATCACGTGCTTCATCTGCAATTATACTGAATACATGACTACCTTTTTTAATTTCATTTACAATACTACGACCAACAACAATAGCAGCTGCTTCCAGAATATCGTTTTGAATTAAATTTGATGTGTACTTGGCATTTTTTGGAAGTGACATCAGATTTGATTCAAAGTTCTTGTTTTCTAAACTTGACAGTTTAACCAACTCTAAAAAATTCCCTGTGACATTAAAATCATAAATATTATTTATTATTTACCCACCAAATAACTTGAATTAAATAACGTATTAACGTATTAATATTTGATAAGTAAATGATCATACACAATTTAAATGAATTAAATATTTTAGAAAAAATTATATTTGAGCAGTTACCTTATAGACACATAAGTTAGAGTATAATTTATCAAGTAGAAAATAAACATATTATTAAAAAATATTAGATTGGTTTTCTAGAAAAAAAAAGAATGAAATAGTAAATGAATTACCTTGATTTCTATAATGCTCTATTTCTGTAGTAACACTAACAGAACTATTAGATGTAGAATGATTGTCATCTGAAATTTGTAGCTTTTCATTTCGATGACCACGAAGACTAATATCTTGACGAGCACAATAAAGTGCCATTCTAATCAACGATTTTAATACATCGCGATTTTTTAATATTTGTTGCTGAGTAAAATTATTTACTTGACATGATACAGCACCAGATGTTTTTGAAGTTTTATAAGCTTTATATTTTTCTAAGCTTAATTTGTGAATGGCAGAATTTTGATGTTTAATTGTACAATCAGTAATTCGTTTCCAGTCACAATAGCCTTGTTTAATAAAAACTTGTTGTCCTGAGGTGTTACTTACATTTATAGCAAAATGCCGACAGTAATAACAATAAATTCTGTCTTTTTGTTTAGAGTACTCAATCCATGGATATTTTGAATACCATGACGAATTAAATGATCGATATTTGTTGTATATCATCCGACGAGGAAACAAGTAAATACTAGGCTGAACTGCCTGTTCATCAATATTATTACTTATGTCAAACACTTCTTCATCAAAACTAGATTCTGATTGTTTTGCATCAGTTGGAGTTAAATTCATAACATTTGTTGTGATCGACTTGTCCGTGCTCACCGGAGTGCTCACTGTTGATTTATTTACTAAAAATCGTTTCATAATAATGCCAAATGGATATTATTAAAAACACAAATTTAAATTTAAGTATATTATCCTTGAACTTTGAAGAGTAAAAACGAAACAAAACTGAAACGGGGACTAACACGACGCAAACGCAACTGATAATATTTAAAAATTAATAGCAATACCCATAGAAGAAATGATTATTATTAATGCCTGTAATAAGTATAATACATATACAAATAATTATATACACTAAAATCGTGGCGACGCGCGACGGAGCGCACGGATTATCTTATTGATGGTATTTCCCAACGTCGTAAGACTAAAAATAACATTATTCCCACCACATATGAATTATGAATACGTAATATGTATAAATATGCCTCACTCATATTGCTATACATTTTTATTGAAATACAAAATAATAATAAAAACTATTTTTTTTCTAACTATTTATTAATCATATTTTCATTTTTCATTGAGTATTGTAATTTGTAGATTGGACTTAAACTAGTCTAGTACTTATACAAAAATGTGGGTGGGCACATGCCTACCGGGCCCACCCCCTAAACACGCCACTGACGATATCCCACCTATACGATGAAACTGCTCAACTCTTATATCATATTTAAAGTCCAGGAAAAGTTTTATGAACTACACTTTTTCGTCAATAAACCTTTAGGTGTAAAGAACAACGAGATGAAAAAATCATATAAGCAGTATCTACAGTTAGGTGCCAAATAAACCACATCCACTTATTCGGTATCTTATTTCTACCGAACATCATTGGTCACTGATTAATGTATTTAACAAATAGTGTATTGTTGCACTTAATCAATTGTTTAGTGTTATATTTGTAGTTTAACGATGCTACTGCTATCTTTACTTGCTTCCATGAATTATTTTCTATATATTCATCTTCATAATGTATCTATTTAATATTTCAATAAATGTAATAAGTAATTATTACATAGTTTTCAGCTATTTTTATTATTATAACAATGTCAACAAATGGAATATAATGAATTACTTTTCTGTTTATTTTTACATCTTAAGCTTTTACTTTGACATCTTAAACGTATTCTTCTGTAAATATATTAGATAAAAATGGTGACAAATGACGTTTTATCTCACTACTTTACGGATTCTGGTTATGAATTTACAGTTTCCTATTTTATTCATTGTTTCTTGATCAATCAGTTCTATAATGACTGGTCAATTCAGGTCATTCTTTTCAAGGTGGCCCACCAGTAAGTTTTAGTTCACGGAAACGGAATAAAATGCTCTTTTTAAGTAGATAAACTCCATAATAAAGTATGTATTTCTGTATAAGTTTAGCCTTTTTTCTTTAGTTTTAAGTTTATTGAGATCCTATATCCTGTGTTTAAGCACAGGGTTTTTAGACTTCTAGAGCGTCTTGGCCATTTTATCATGACTAGTTTGTGTCTATCTGTGTTATCTATCTCCTTAGATTAGATTTACAACTTTAGTAAATAGTAAATGGAGCTATTTATATTTGAAACCAAAGCATGTGCGCCACAGACAACTCTATGAATTACATCAATGTTTGTGTATTTAAAACTATGAATATTAATATAATATACATGGTGACATGTTTTACATGATATTTCTAAATAAACACATAACTGAAATAACTACTCTAGACAATCTCTAGGTTTACACATGATACGTTTTATAATAATGAGCTACTTTAATTTGCTCTAAATGTATATGCCATCGTTCTGTACGTTCTTTTTATGTATTTATCAATTTCGACATATAGCCACTTCGGACTGTAGTTATTTCTAAATCGCAATTACGACCTTGTACTCGTACTTTTGGCAAGTAGATTATTCACTACGAGCCTAGGTCACAACATTCAATGACTTATAGATTAGAGAATACATTGACACTGTCTCAAAAGAATCTGCAGTAGCAGTACACAACTTTATTGACGCACGTGTGCTGCATAGCATAATAATAATATTACGTATTGACGAGCGTGCGTAGGAAGTAGATATCTTATAATAAATAAGTACTGCGGGGGCACACACGTACAGCGCCGTGGAACGTTTCAAAACATCGCGGCAGTTGGTCACCCGGTTGATTAGCTTTCGATCCATTCATTGAACTCTTTCGGCGCCGCGACTTCGGAAGGCGGCGGACGAACGAAAACAACAACAAAGACAGCGGCAATGTCAACACATGGTGAAAACGTCAACATTACAATATGTGAACAAATCGCGATGACAACGACCCGTTACCCGGTATATACGTGCCGGGGCAACGGTCGCGGTTATCTCCGCCTCTGCACGCTCCGTGCCCGCCACCGGCGCCGTCATCCTATCCGCCGCCGAATCAAAACAGTCTGTTTACTATAATACAATAATAATAATATTATTATTACTATTATTATTATTGCAGTTGTTATTGCGTTTTTATACCGAATACGTCGTTCGCTTATATGTACATAACGTCATTACTATACTATACTATTTTATTATATATTCTATGAAATATTATACAACAATCATCGTCGTCGGCCCAGTTCATCGACATCGACGGTGGCATGTGCGGCGGTCATTTCGTCGGAATCTGCCGCGCAATAGATGTGCACCTGTAACAGACTTCGTCGCGGTGCACACACGGTGCACACCGTACTCGTACAATAACAACGACTGAGAAATTTCAGAGTGGGTAGATACGGTTTGTGTGTTACGTATCGGCGGCGGGGAGAAGAGGTCACATGCACACCGCCACGACCGGGCCCGATGCAGCGCGCGGTATTTTCTCAGTATTCGCTATATTATTATTATTATTAAATGTACGACTGTAATATACGAAATAATGTATAGTGTATACACTATACACGCGCGATGCGTCACGTGCCATCGCACGACCATAGACATCCTCAAGGCCGTTCTTGTAGGTATGGTCAACGATCGACCACGCCCACCGCCGTGCGGACGGAGAAGTGGCAGCCAACTAACCGGCAGCCGCCGGCGTCGCGTGATAAGCCTTATCACGTGGTATAAACGGAGACCTGTGATTTCGCGGCGTTTAGCGTCACGATATTACTATTATAATATCGTCCTACGTCCTCCAATAGTAAAAACACGAAATTCATAAATATAGTATGCTGCACACTATAAAACAATATTCGCCGTTATAATATACCAACGGCGCAAATCCTCGTAGAGTCGAATCCCTTTTTTCTTTCGATTGCCTTCGATTTTTCAATTTTATAACGGCAGCGGTTGCTTGTAAGAAGCGTTTTGAAAACTGTCATAAAGTTCAAACCTAAGGCGAAGGAGGAACCCCCCCTTTTTTTTAATACATATTTTATACAGGTTTTCATCTACAAGGGTGTAATATGACGAAGGGAGAACGAAAAATAACTATTTTTTATGCAGGCATATCGTATAGTTAGATGATTAGCATGTGCTAGTCATATACCAATGTCTAATACTTAAAGTATAGATATAATGCAATTTACACGTATTAATATGATTTTTTAGGTATACTACAGTTATATACCAAACTGTCGAGAACGGTTGGTTTTATTATATTTAAAATTAATTTTAAAGATACTACAACACGTATTATAAATTATTAGTTCGATGTTTTGGGCAATGTTTTGCATTCTGTATTACATAATACATACTGCCAATGTAATAATATAATAATTAAATCAAAATATTTATAATGTGTATAAATGTATAAACATTTTAAGCATAATTTAATATAATTAATATGAAGTAACTAAAATATAGTTAAACAAACACAATATTCAAGGTATACATAATATATATATATATAACATACTTTTAATATTACTGAAATACTGAATGATACCAAAGAAAATAAGTCACCAATTACAATATTTATTTATATTGTTATTATTTTTAAAAGCATAATTAAACTTTCTATTATTAAATCACGATTCACGACTGTCAACAAAAAAATACTATATGAATCTAATTAATAAAAATGTATTCAATTTATAATTGACGTCATTTTCTTGGAACTGAAACGTACACCGACATTAAGTTTATTTTAGAAAATAATTGCATTTGTAATTTTCCTAAGTGTTGGATAATATTACGTAACATATTTTATTATGTAAATGTGTAATTATACAGAATACAAAGCTTTCTTATTTCTATAAATAAACTATACAAGAATATTCAAAACTAAATTTGTTAATGTAATATTTTTATTTTTATAAAATATTTTTAATATTGACACAAAGTTTAAAAAAGGTCAATCAAACATTAAAATTATTTAATCTTTACAAACTAATATTACATCACGTTATTATTTTATTATTATTAATTCTGTTATTACTTTAACCATTTGTTCTTAATACTAGTTCTTTTTTTTATGAGTTTAAATCATTGATCAACATATTAATTTCTCTTCTTAAGTTTTGACCACCTCATCAATAAAATTCTTAATTGCCAAAAATAATTAAATACCTATCAATATAAATAATCGCCTTCTAAATATTTAAAAAATAAATGTAAAAGAAAGTAACTTAATTAAAAATTGAAGTAATGCCCTTTTAATCATGTCATCCAAACATCCAGTTATTGAAATGCCAACAAACAAATTTACTCTTTTTTTAATTTATTTATTATATATTTAAATTTCTTTTTTATTTAATTAGGGAAACAGTAAAAATATATTTTTAAATAGAATATTAATTTTATTGTAATTTATTATAATTTATAATAGATGGAAGTACGAATACGAATACCAGTGGGACAGGCAGATGTTCTAAAAAAATAGAAGGGTTAATTCAAGTGAAAAAATCAAAGATTGTAGAGATGACATCGTCACTACTCATAAAAAGGGTGGCGTATAAAGGAATAAACCGAATGAAAACTAGGAAGATAGTTATGTTTGTGATCATAATCCAGAAATTGATTATAGATAGGTAATTTGTAAGAGTTCTAATTTTAAATTATAATAATATAATAACTTATAGCATTGAAAAGACGATTTTTATAACGCTGATCAATATTTACATAAAAATAACTAAGAATTTGTTTCAGTCATTGCATTGTCATTTTAGTATTTTACTGTTTTATCTATAGTTCGAAAATTCCTATGCTATTTGAAAAATGACAGTTTTTGTTAGTTTTACAATCTATGTATATTATTATGAATAATATGATGGCTCAAATGAAAGATTATTTTTAAAGATTCTTCAAGAATTGTTTTCCGTTAAAAAATCATATAATTTGTAGTATCGAAATATATTTTATAGTAGATCGATGATAACACTGATAAATGCATCGGAGGAGTCTGTAGTATGGATCGAAATAATGATAATATGTAATTTGCACCACCGCATTATAAATTTTAATATCTCGT